ACAGAATTATGAGTGAATGATCGCAACGATGTATTAGATCTTTACTTAATTTCTTATATAATCGATTTAGATAACTCATTCTTTGTTTGAGAGCTAGTGATTATAGAATACACCTCTTACACAGTAACACATATCTCGTGATAATTGACATGTCTTGTTTATTATAATATTTGTACAGGAGAGCATCGGGGCGTCTAGCGTCGCGGGCAGCGGTGTCAATGGTGGCAACGATGCCACAAGTGGCAGCGAGCAATGCGCAGTCGAGTGCCTGCAGAACAAGCTGTTGGCCACAATGCGGATTGTACGTAATTGGGACTCTTTGGGAATAGACAAGACAATGTTGTACATTGTTGCCTCAAGTTGCCTACTGGCTAAGCAAGCAATGGTATAAATCTGCTGGTATTGCAGCTGGAGAACAAAGAGGAGACGATCCGCGTGCAGGCGCAGAGCGTAGCAGTCGCGCAGCAAAGGATCGCAGCACTGACAGAGCGCGCTAACTACTATCGCAGGCAACTAGACCAGGTGCATACTGAAGGGAAACCACTGATTTGTAGCTTATTGTAGCGTATTTAATTCCAATTTCTTATAATCTTAGTGTCAGCAGTCGCCGCGTTTTCCAGACCCTCAGCCGGTGCAGACGGCGGACATGTGTGTCAATACAGACGTGAACAAGGTCAGTTGACTACACCAACAGTTGCCGACTGCTTTAGCCTATTGCGTTTAATCAGTTTATTGGTTCTATGCTGGATTTTTTATTTCTAAATTGCATGCATCAGCTATAATTATGTGCTGCCAGTTTTGGGTAATACCTAAAGCCATCAAAAGAAATGAGATTATTTTAGGAGGAGGTGTGTCAACAGAAGATTGTGTCCACTCTGCGAGACAATTTGTCTGTTATTGAGGAACTGTATAGGGAGTGCTTCTATGAGGTAAGAAAAATGTTTAAATCTTAGGTTATTTTATCATATTGTGTTATTAAAAGTTATTGTACTGGTGTATTTTTATATATTTATTTTGCAGACAGCAAAGCAAGAGGAATTGATAGATTTACTTCGGAAGTCTTGCGCGGATGTCAGGTCTATGGAGAGATACAAAAGTGATCAGATCGATCAGTTACAGAATGTCGTCCACAGCCAGAAGTGGTCGCTGGACAAATGTCAGGTTAGTCCGAATTTCTGGAATATACGTTGAATTTGCCATGAATGATATTAATTTTCTTTTTTAATTCCAGGATATAGCAGCGGAGGTCGAAATTCTAAAGACAGAAATATCAAATTTCCTCAACAGCTCCAACCACGACTCGGTATTGCCACTAATCGATGTGCATGTCCTGTGTTGCCACTAACAACTTTGTTAATTTTACAATAAAGATGGTGCTAAATCCTACATTAGTAATTATTATTATTAATTAACTGATACCAAAGTTAGTAACAACTTATATGTAAATTCACGAAATCAACTAATTACATTGTTTAATTGTATCAAATTATTTTTTCTTTTAAGTTAGGTTATAAAATTATTTATAGGTTCAATGTTTTTGCATGAAGGCTTGTTAATGTAAGCAATAAAGAGATTGAGTGCAGCCGTGGTTTGATTGGGGGCAGGGCGTGTGGGAGGTGCAGGGGGTGCAAGGGGTGCAGGGGGCGCAGGGGGCGCAGGGGGTGCGCGGCGAGGAGCTGGCGGCGGACGTGCAGCATGTGTCCGCGCAGCTGCTGCGGCTGCGGGACCTGCTGGCTGTGCGTGCCGCCTTGTCTCGTAACATACAGCTCTACGTATCATAGAGCAAATAGCTGTGCGATTGCAGCTTCAGGAGTTTACAATAAATGAGTTTGACTAAATTCTATTAATGTGAACGAGTTATTGATTCTCTTATCCTCGAACCCCTGTAATTTACATCCCAGTTCTTTTTTATTGGAGTTACATGTAGGTGTTATTTGTTTAGCAGTGCGAGTGCGTTTGCGGACTGAAGGAAGAAAACATTAAATTACGTCAAAGGAACGAAGAATTGGAGGTGAGAACAAGACATGATAAAAGTACTCTCATAAAACATAACAATCATTTTCTATATAATATTTCTTGTATTATGTTTGTTTAGGCAAAAGATAAAGAGCTGCAGAAACGAGTGCAGGAGCTAGAGAAAGCTCTGCAAGAAAAAGATAGAGATATCGAGAAGCACGACCAACAGCTCGACATGAAGGACCGAGAGGTAAGAAACTTGCAAGGAATACGCGAAAAAAAATGATTTGGTGGTTAAGTTATCTTTGTTCAAGGTTTAAATTCTTTTAGTGTACTTAATTTCATTCATTAGAGTAGCGACATATATGGTATGTGTGTGCGTGTCCAGGGGCGGCACATGTCGCAGCAGGTGTGCATGCTGCGACAGAAGTACATGGACCAGGTGACCACGTGCGAGTCCCTCACCGCACAGTTGCAGCACTGTCAAGGTCAGTGCACGTCTAATCTTCTAAAGTGACTGAATCAGTTCTTCGGTTCAACGTTACAATGACTGCACATTGCAGCGATGCTGTCGAGCAAGTGCGACGAGGTGGCGCAGCTGCAGCGCGAGGCCGGCGAGCGGGACAGC